TTATGGGCAGCTTTCAGTGAAAGGAGATTGACCTTTACACCGAGTTGCCACGCTGAAAATAGGAGCAGTAAATGGAAGTCGCGTCATTGGTCACCACCGTCAAGTCACCTCAATGAAAATAGCGGAGTTATCTTACTTTGCTGTGGGGAAAAGAATAGTGTAATCTTTCATCTGAACGCTTCTTCAACTATTTCTATTTTATTCGGTGTCCGTAAAAAGTTGCCCTCTTCTGCCACGTAATTTTCGTAAGTTGAAGGTAAAGAGTGAGCGCTCCTCTTCAAGCAGTTTTAAGGGTCCTTAAAAACATCGACAAGAAAAAATACTCTTGATTCAATCGAATTTTCGCTTAAATCAAGAACCAAGCCTCTTAATTTGAGCGGATTTCCTTTTGATTTAAGCTTAAATCTGATTGAATCGAGAGTCCTTTTTCTTGTCAATGTTTTCAAGAGTCTGGACTCTAGATCCAATGTGTTTTTTTTCCAGTGCTGATGAGTTTAATCTTTTCCTCTTTAAAGTTCTCTGATTTTCAAAAAAATAAAATTGTCTACCCTAAAAGTCCTCTGAGCGAAAAGTTCTTCCAGATTACACGCGTTTTAGAGCTTTCCGCGTGTTTTACCTAATCTTTTAGATTCAATCGATAAGCAAAATTTTATAACCAGAGCAACCGACCTATTTGGTTTTTATTCATTTATTTATTTTTTAACTGTGGATAGGGATTTAGTATTATCGATTCAACATGCAGTTTCTCTTGTTTTAACGTCAGTTCTTTCCGTGGTTTCATTTCCTTGAGGGAAAAAACAGAGCATTTTCAAACTCTCACAGCAGCGCGATTTGCGGGCGATTACTTTGCGTGATAGATGTGAATAGATGAAAGTAGAATTCTTCTGCACGGTAGAGTAATAAAAGAACAGACATCCGCAAAATATTTGTTTACGATCCTGGACGCCCACAAGTTTTAAAATCACTATCACCTCAAGTGTTGAAAGCCTTTATCAAGGCTAGACGTCGATGTTCTCCACTCAAACCGTTGCAGCAACCATGTGCATCGCAATAAACTGCAAGAATTATCGCCGACAGCGAACCTAACGACGAGGCACCAAACCCCGATAAAGCTGGAGTTAACTTCCCTGCAACATCACTAAATTTTCCGAGAAACACGCGCAAAAACACGCAAAATTTCATGAAATTGTGCACTAGTTATGCAACCCTGTTTTCAGGGCGCCGGCGATCTCTCGTCAGTAGGTAAATGCGAGTAAATTGTGATGGTTAGGGCTAACTGGAACAAATTAAAAGCTTGTTGTTGCTACTGACGTCAGTGGAAATTTTCGCCGCGTGATTTGTCAAATGTTGCATTAAAATTAGCCTGACTGGAATGAGGAGTGTAACTTTCAAAAATCTGGCAACGATGCTCGCATGCTTGAGCTTGTGCACCGACCGCGCACTGTTGGGAAGAATTTAGATTATGTGAATGCCCTCGTATGATTGTATGAGTCACTGACTAAGTCTTGTCGTCTTTTCATGAAAAAAAAGCTGAATTTTCTTGTCCTTAAAACCAAGCTTAAAGTCATCCCTTAAGCTAGAAATTTTCAGCGAAAAATCTAGTGGTTTAAATCGGACTATAGAAGATCAGAAATTGTAGATATTGCACTTCATGTACATTAATGACCCAAGGACACAACATTAGGAGAACGAGATCGCCTTTGAAAGGTCGTAACGAATATTAGTTGAAAATATTGACGATGAAAGTAAAATAAATATGTGTTTGAATCTGACATTTTAATCCATATTAAACTAAACAATTATCAAATTAATCATGGTTTTTATCATCCGTTTTTTTCAATTTCCTGTCTATAAAATGTAATTGTTGTCTTGCATCAGGTAAAATCATGGAGTGAATTAAATATGCTAATGGCTCATTAAGAGCACAGTTTTTAACACACACGGGGAGCACGGTCCATTTGAAGTATTTTCAAAATTTGACTGGTTAAAATATCAAATTTTACTGAAAACCTTCATTGGCCAATTGATGAATTGACTTGTCATTTAGTGGCCGAATTAAGCACTGAACATGAAACAAATTAACGGTTCGCAAGGAGTTACAATCGGACTACATTTTGCAATAAGGAACTAAAAGTTTTAGCTCATTTTAGAAACAACGGATGTGAAATTAGTTTTTCTATTCAAGTAGGTGATTTCAGAGATGGGTCAGAAAATTTAGTTACTCGTTGCAAAATGATATCCAATTAGTATTTGTGCTTATTACAGAATATAGATAATGTATATTGTAAAATCCCTAACAATTACCTCGGGCCTCAGTCGAACGTTTTCAGAACTGTATACTTTATATTCATAGCTGGAGTTTTCAGAATATTATGTAAACTTGATTGATACCAAAGGCGTGGCGTGCTTTGCGATATATCGATTGTTACGCCATTTAAACCGACGGTAAAAAATCGATTATTAAGGAGTTCGCTGCGAACACCCTGTCCATTGATCCTTTCCCATTGGTTTAAATGGCCAATCGATCGATATATCGCAAAGCACGCCACGCCACTGATTGATACGTAGTTGTCGCTTCCAAATTTTTAGAAGAAAAACTAAGACAATCGTTCGAAAGTTTAGGAAGGTCGGCGATAAAACATAAACAGCAACATTTCGACTGGATATGTGTCACCGATGGGGAAAAAGCTTTGAGTCATCGAGACTAGGTTAATCCACGGAGGCTCTCTTGATGAGTGGGCGCTATAGGATATTATTTTCGGAACCAAAACAACGAAACGAATAAAAATAGTTGAGTTGTTGCTCCGCTGAAAATACAAATATACCCTCTCTCCTGACTACTACAGGTCTCTTATACACAATGGACCACTACGCAAAATACATCTTCTCAAATTCAACTCGTGTCAGTAGCGATTCTTGGAAGTTGGCAACACCGCTTTTCCTCCATATAAACGTATGTAAAACAGTCGATTCTTTGTGAGACGGGCTGCCTCGCCTAGAATCGATTTATTTAATGGATTTTAATGGAGTACTTAAAATGTTACCAATTTGCTGAGATCGGCACTAGGGGTAAGTAAAAGAAAAGATCTTTGTGAACCTAGGCTTTCTGAAGAGAACAATTTTCGTTACATATAGGTGGTTAAAAAATTCGAATTTAACGTTTCGGTGGAATTATCTCTGTAGTATCTCGGAGAATAAGTTGCAAGCAATTAGTTTTCATGCAAAAACAGTACATGAAGTTTCTATACAAATCGGCAATTTGAGCCATGAACTTGACACACTGACTATTCATGCAAGTTGGTGACACTGTTTTTTTTTTCTTTTTTTCTTTCATTTAAATATATGTAAAACAATCGATTTTAGGTTGCTTGCCTCGCTTGGAATCGATATTTAAAATAGATTTAAATAGAGGAAAAACAGCGTTGCCGATTAGTAAAAATTGCCGCTGAGTCTCGCGATTAATTACACATTGAAAAATAGTTTTAAAAGAAAATTGTCATTTTTTATTGATTTCTACTGTGAATTTTCTTTACAAGAAACGTGATTTATGACAAACTTACTCGATACACGTTGTCGTAATAAATATTCTCTAAAAATCAATTTTTACCGATCTCGATAGCGTTGCCAGATTTTCAAAGAGAACAACATTTTATAAGGTTTCCTTAAAAATAACTAATACGGACTTTGACGATACACTGTCAGTTGAGGCTCTTCAAAAAATGTCAAGGATCAACCGCAATTTTCACGATGATTGGCAACAATGGGATCTTTTCTAGTTCATTTTGTCAATCATCACGCCGATTACCTCCGCTCTCAACCTCACTCCTGAAGTCCACATGCTAGACTTGTGATCTTTAATACTGGGACTTTGCCAGCATGAGCGGCTTTTGTTTTGATCCAGACTGTCAACCTAATTTTCAAAAGCTCCATCACTAAATTCTGCTAAAAAAGGCCAAATTACTGGTAAAAATTGGATGTAATTGCACTCACAACCAATTAATTCTAAAGCAACTTCTTTTTCCTAACCGTGGAGTGGAAAGTTCGCCTTTTTTTTTACAGAACTTCATCTTTTGGTGGAACTTCAATCTCGTTTCCTAAAAGTTTTGTTATTCATTGTCGTCGTGTTTCAACAAATATTTGTGGATGATCGTGAGTGAAACAGATCTTACCTTTAAAAGTAATTGGTAGTCGTTAATCCTTTGGATTGGTAATTTCAAATGTTCACTTAACGATTTGTCGTCAGCAAGCCGATGACCCACCTCCTGTTGGACAGACATCAAATCGAAATTTTAATTAATTTGATTTTTATTAATAATAAAAATCCTAGTGCAAAACAGACAAGCTAGGCATAGAAAGTCGATAGACAACAGCGCTCTCAGAGCTATGTGTAGAGCATAACAGTATCAGGGACCATAAAAATGAATTTTTAAATGATGGATTATTGGTGATTAAATAGTGACAACACCCATTACAAAGTTCTCACGATTATGTACGCAGTCTAAAACTTTTAAATTCTGCAAACGACAATATCCGCTATTTTTTTAGAAGACATTTGAAGCAGCTTTCTCACACGTCATTCCAAAGAATGCAATTCATTGTAATGCATGCATGATCAATCTGTAGTATCGATAATCAATAAATCCATCGCGCACAGGTCGGAACAAATTCATACTATTTGAGAGTTTCTAGTTTGTGCTTAAAATTTACTTTTTAAAGAGCATCCAGTTAATGTTATTTCTAAACATTTGGAGTGATTTAACTTCATTATCTCACGACTACTACCTCAAAATTTCCTTAAAAGAGATTTGTAGAAATTAAGGCACAATACATACAATCCATTTCAAGTTTCGGGGGAGGAGAGAAGGTCTACCGATCATGGGGCCAAAATTGACCAAAATTTTCCAAATGTTGAGTCGCTAATTTTAAGGGAATCCAGGCAATATTCCACGCTGTACCGTTTTAAAATTGCTCTGCCTCACTGGCGATTTGATCAGATGATTTGATCGGCTTGTCAGGATAACACGTAATCTTGGATTTCAAAATTTTCTGACTTTTTAAATACTTTCAACTCAGAATTTCCCGTCTTTTCAATGTTTGTTTTGGCGTGATTTCTCATTACAATTTTTGTAAGGAAAGTTATAAACGCGAACTCTTTTAAAATTGAATCAATGTTGTGGCTCGAGGAAATACTTTCAAGATTTGCCATAACATTTCCTAAATTTTCAGGGTTCTGGAAAATTGCCTGCCAAACTTATCAATAACTTGTCCCCTGCTTTTTCGACGCATTCAAAATGAAGAAATTTAAAAAATAATGTTTTTAAAAATTGTACGTTTATTAAACAATTTAAGTGTGAATCCACCCTAAAACCAGTAAAAACTTAATTGATTGAAATCAAAATAGGGTCATTTTACCTAGGGTAGGTCCGAAAAAAGTATCCAAAAAATCCGAGGGGAATCCAAAGGAACTCAAGCACTAAAATCACGCACGGGTCCGGTCCGTTCGACGACGGTTTCGAAAGCACGACTGGCGACGCGTCAGACGATTCGGTTGTCGGGCGTCGGTTGTCACACGCGCCGCGATTACCCGCTGACGAGCCGACGAAACTCTCAACGAAAAAAAAAGGCGAAAAGGAATCGTGTAAAAATAACAGAATGACTGACTCTCCTCCCTTCCCCTCCCATCCTGGCAGCGCTCTCGCACCATGGGCACGAGAACTATGCGCTTGGACACGCTTGGATTCTGGAGGAGTTTGAAAATGAAAGGATGTACTTAGTATTTCGATCCGTTTTGAATGATTGTTTTTTTTTTAAAAAAATAAAAACCCTAGTAGCAATTCCCGTTGAAAAACACTCTAAGAAAACTCTTAAAAAACGAAGAATTTGCATACAAATTTTTCATTGCTTCGTCTGAAAGTGCTTAAAGAGCTGATTTCACAGTGTTTTTATACTTTTTTTCTGATATAGGAAACAGTATAAAAATAGATTTAAAGTGAGAAAATGCACCGCCTAATGACGTCATCTGGCGGCATTTCCCATTTAAACACATGTATTTTAGCAGATTGGATCATTTTGTCATATCTTCTCCAATAATTGTTCAATTTATGAACCAAGGGTATCTTCGTGTTAAGACCACTCAGTAGTTTCCACGTTAACACGAAAATCATCAAATTTTAAAATTCTTGTTTCAGCAAATCGTGTTTGAAAAATTAATTTATTTTAAAAGTTTTCTAAAATTGTTTAAAAATGTTTATGTGTTAAAAAACAGATAGAGTTTTAAGAGTTTTTTTTTATAATATTATTTATTTTTAATACTCGTAAATTTTACTTAAAAATACCCAAAAAAAATTCTATTAAAAATAAAAAAATTAAATAAATCGACAGTTTTTTCAAGAGTTGTCTTTTTGAAAATCGCGATTTTTTTAAAACATTTTTTTGCACTTGTAACTACTAAGGAAGTTTTCATTCGAATGATCATATTTTGCAGATTCGTTTCAAATATGCGCGGTATTGAAAAAGAGAAAGAAAACAATCGCAATAGCCAACAGTCCATGAGAAAAGGAATTTAACAGCCAATGACTCAAACTGTACTGTGTCATAGATATCCTTTTATACTCTTGAGTTGAAAATCAAATTCAGTGTTCATATGGACGCTTAAAATATAAAAGAGGTATTAAGATTTGAATGTGTGTGTAAAAAAAAGAAAATAGAAAACACCTTTCAAAAACGATTCCCATTCACTCTGTAGCTGACTCCAAATTCGTCAATCAACCTTATCTGAAATGTTGAATATAATTTGCTGTCTCTACAAAGTACTTAACAAACAAGTTCTAAAGCTTGTCCTCTTTTTACATTTACATTTTTCTGTTGTCCCTGTTTTTGTGCCATTCGATGAATTATCGTTATATTTGACATCTATGTGCGTGAGATAATTTTGAGATGTGACACATGCGAGACGTCATGTTTGTGAGCCGGAAGAAATATGAATGGAGAGGACAGATAGGTGTGGGTTCGACATTTTGGAGCGGGATCAGGTGGGTGCGAGCTTTGGGACGCGGTTGCAACCTGGGCGGAAAAATTGCTTCATTTCAAGAAGCAGTCCGGTCAGAGACCTTTCGCGTGTCTCCCAATAGTAGGGCAGGGATCGCAAGCGGAACTAAATCATTTTTGTGGGGAGTACAAGGGCTTACTTGCACCTCAAGGAAAATTAGTTATATATCGAGTGATTGTATATACCTATACAATCACAAATTATCTGGGAATGGAGCACCGGTCTTCTGTGGGCTGATTGTTGATATTGATAGACATAGCTATAGACAAAGAAGACAAAAGGGATATGGAGGGATCCTATAGGTGGGGACGAGTGACTGCAATGGACAAAGGAGGCAGGTAATAGACGAACTACAGACAACTCACGAAAGAGCCTTTAGTTAGTCCATCAATTGTGCTCTTAGTCTATAAGAACCACTCAAATTAACCAATAGGATCGCTCCATCCTCCCTATGTCCTCTTTGTCCATAGCTTTGTCTATAACACTGGGAAATGTTTATCCTAACCACTCTCCGATGAAATAGTTCTGGCTGCGTCGCTGTAGAAAACATTGGAACGACAACAAGGAATATACATTACAAATTATCATAATGGAACTTTGAGACTTAAAAATTATTTTTTTAGTACAACATTCATCGGTTGAGGATCATTTATATACGTCCAATGGCAAACATGTTCTCGAGCGACTGTTGTCCGCTAGTAGCGCCCTGATTCTACAAGTTTCGTCACCTTCTCACCGTTTCGCAGAGGCAACGCGAGAAAATTGTTTTATATTTATTTTTTATTATTATTTGTTTTGGTGCAAAGAATAAATCACACTTTTGAGCCCGTTATTTATAGACGAGTCGAAGCGACGCAGAGATCATCCGAGTGGTTGCCCACAGCTTTCAGAACGGAATTTTAATTACTGTCTCGTAAATTTCGAACTAATTTTTACGACTGTCCATTTCTCGAGCCCTCGGGGTTCGCATTCCAGCTTGACATTCGCAATCGGAGAAAGTGGCGCCTGATGTGAAATTTTGTATTTATCCAGTAATCTGATAAATTCTCACTGATAGAAGAAAAATCGGAGCTCAAAATGTGAAATGTTTGCAAAAAAATGAAGAGGATAATTAACAATTTAAGCGCCATTTTTATGGCGGCAAATCTAAGGATGAAAATTCTAGAATTCATAAGTTTCAGAAATAGTTTACATCAGCGTGTTGCGGGACTATACGCTGAACCCTGTCAAAACGATCGACAGGGAATGTTGCACGGGTTCTCAAAGGAACCGATTCGGCATTGATTCAGGTTTTCATGGAAACTCGAGGGGTTCACGGGAAAAAAGTTTTAGGGGTTATCCCCTAAAATTGTGGTACCATTCCAATTCGTTGCATAATGTGGACTTTTCTAATTACTCGTGGTAGTACCGCTAATTGCATTTAAGTTGGGGTGATATCGCAACATTTGGGTTTGTACTTTGATTTATTGGGGTACTACCACACTTAATTGGGAATGTCCATATCATCCAACAACCCCATGCTCTTTTTTTCCGTGTCTCCTCAGATCTCTCTGGTTTCCATGGGTTCATATCGGTATTGTTGGTCTCTTCATTCACTCCATTGGGACCCATGGATTCCGAATGGGACCGTTGAAATTTCAAGTGACCGTTGTGACAGGAAGATTGACCACCATATTGTCCCTGATTCAATATTCTGGGATTAGCTACCCATATCAAAATTCCAAAGGCGAAACTATTCTAAAAAGATTCTAATAGATTCATGTTGCGAATCCTGCAATTTTTCCGAAGTTCATCGTCATCTTAAAAAGTATACGGCCATAGCGTTGTTTACAGTTAGAAAATTCTTTGAGTAACTCTCCTTTGAACTCTGAGCTTCTATGGTTTGAAACGTCTTTGAGTTGGAATTTTTGTAACTCTACGCACATTTTTAAAATTGGACGATGACGTACCAGCGCTGAGGCTCTAGTTCCGCATTTGCTTCGTTACGCATCGAAACGCAACGCTCCCTCATCAATCTTCTTAAACGGGTTCTCGGTAAGTCAAACTCTAATATTTACTAACACTTGCTTGAGTATCAAAAATCGTCACCTTCCGGCCAAAGTATCACAAGCGCCATGCGACGTTTCAAAATTTCCACCGCCGTTTTATGCTTCTACAGAGAAATTTTTCAACGAAGCTGTCCAAAAATTTCACTGAGTTTTCTTCATACTGCCG